CAAAACAAAACGGCAGCCATATAACAGGCCAAGGACAGAGACCTCAGAAGCCTTTTTGGGGTAGGGCCCACTTAGCTCCCATTCCTCCTGGGAGCATTCTTCTCTGTCTCTGTCCCCATCTCTCTCTCTCTCTGTGTCTCTCTATTTCTCTGTCTCTCTCCATTTTTTTCTAGACAGGGTTTCTCTGTATAAGTCATGGCTGTCCTGGGACTCACTCTGTAGTCCGGGCTGATCTTGAACTCACAGAGATCTGCCTGCTTCTGCTTTCCAAGTGCTGGGGAAAAGGTGGGCACCACTGGAGGGGAGTATGTTTTGTAATTTGCAGCAGGAAGCCCAGGGAGTTGCTCACATACCACACTACCTTCCTGGGTGAAGTCTGTCTCCTCGTGCATGAAACAGGAACAACAGTTTTGACCTCAGGTGGATGTGGCAAGATCATAGGGGACACATTCACTTGCTGCTGCTGGTGTTTACCTGGCAGCCTGGCTGCAGGTTGGGCTCTGGCACACCCCCAGGCAGTAACCAACAGGTGTGAAGCTAGGGTGTCCTGGCTCCTGAGAGAAGCTCCCACTGGGTGCCAACAGAGGCAGTCAGAATTGGCAGGGGGCGTGGCAAGTTGAGGACTCCACTGAGCATTCTCCAGCGGTGAGATCACCTCTGACTCCAGGGCTGCTGAGCACAGAGCAGGAGGGGGCAGTGTCAGAGGTCAGGGCGGACACAAGGCCAATGGAAGCCCATCTGCCTGGTCTAGGAGGGAAGCAGGTTAGATCATGGACAGCCAGGGAGGGGAAAGTTTGCCCAACACTTCTTAAATTCTCACTGAGTGTTTAAACCTATACCTCCTCATTCTACCCAGGACCTCAGTCAGCACTGCTGTAAGTTCCGATTTACCGGGGTGCACTTGGGGCACAGCATAGTGAAAACAGCCCCAGAGGAAAGCAATCTGGCTTGCAGGTTAGACACAGACCTTGGAATCGGTGCCCATCCCAGCCCTGACACTTACTTGTGTCATACTACCCTCTGGGATCCTCAGTTTACCTTATGTGTAAAATGGCAATAACAATAGTCTTCATTGGGAGCTGGAGAAATGGCTCAGAAGTTAAGAGCACTGGCTAATCTTCCAATGGTCCTAAGTTCAATTCCCAGCAACCACATGGTGGCTCACAACCATCTGTAATGAGATCTGGTGCCCTCTTCTACTGTGCAAGCAAACATGCAGGCAGATCATTGTATACATAATAAATAAATCTTTAAAAAAACAAAACAAGCCGGGCGTTGGTGGCACACGCCTTTAATCCCAGCACTCGGGAGGCAGAGGCAGGCGGATCTCTGTGAGTTCGAGGCCAGCCTGGTCTATAGAGCGAGTTCCAGGACAGCCTCCAAAGCCACAGAGAAACCCTGTCTCAAAAAACCAAAAAAAAAAGAAAAACAAAACAAAACAATAGTCTTTGTCATTGAAGGTTGTGAGGATTGGTAAAATGATACTGGCCTATCACTCAGGGAGTGTGGGCCATCATCATCACCCCATTTTTCTGATGCAAAACTGATCAGCTAATGGTAAACTGACTGGTGTAAGGCCGTGCAACTAGTAGATACCATGGAAGGATTTGAACCCAGGCCTGTCAGGAGGTGACACTCCCTGGAACAACGATCAGGCCAGACTCTCTGTGCAGCCACAGACTCTGGCTCCTGGGACTGGGGCTCAGGGTTAGGCTTGTAGCCTGTGCTCCAGGCATTGGTGAGGAACCACAGCAGAATGCCTGGAAGCTTTGCTTGCTGCCTGGCATCCTGTCCAATGAGGACATGGCCCTGACATTGTTCTCCGGACCCTGCCTGCCAAGGGCCCACAGGTCAGGAATTTCCGAAGCCTGGCCAGACTGCCTTCACTTTCTGGAAAAGCTGAGTAGCCATTGTATGGAGGTGAGCAGACCTTGCTTTCCTGGCCAGGCAGAGACTTCTGGTAAGAGCAGCTGTGGCGAAACTGAAAACATCCTATTCAGTTTCCAGGTTCTGGGCCTGGAGGCCACCTCCATGGAGACACAGTGACCTCCACGCTCACCTCTCCCACAGTTAAGGGAAAAATCACTGTTTTAGGACAGGCAGAGGTCAGGCAGCCAGGACTGTCTTAGGCCACACTTCTCTATGCACTTAGTGGGGAGGGGAGGTTGGATGGTAACTGAGGCCCCTCCCCCACCCTGCCACGTGCCCCAACCCCAGCTCAGAGATGACACACAGACTTCTCTGGGGTATGCGGAATGTAAACTTCTAGCTAGCATGGTCAGTTTCCTTTCTGGGCTGACTATTCGGAGAACTCCTCACGTACTGGGAATGTGGCTCAATGACAGAGCATGAGCTTAGCATGTGTGAGGCCCTGGCTCTTATTTACTGCAACACAGTAAGAGGAATCTGTCTGGGGCCTCCCCACAGTCATCCCAGACACGATGCTACACGCCAAGACTCTCGGCGGCTGGCCTTCCCTGTGGAATGCAGTCTCAGTGTCCACTGCTGTCCCCCTGTGCTCTGTCTGTCTCCTGTGACTAAGGAGACTTTTTTTTTTTTTTTGGTTTTTTGAGACAGGGTTTCTCTGTATTGTTTTGGAGGCTGTCCTGGAACTCACTTTGTAGACCAGGCTGGCCTCGAACTCACAGAGATCCGCCTGCCTCTGCCTCTCGAGTGCTGGGATTAAAGGCGTGCGCCACCACCGCCCGGCTAAGGAGACTCTTGCCTGCCTGCCATGGTCTGGCTGAGGGCTGCAGGAGCTAAGGGGCTTGTTTCCATGCCCACTCCCTGCCTCCAGGCCAGCCTCAGCAGAATACCTGTAGGCAGCCCCACACTAAGGGGGCTCGCAGTGCAGGTGAGCCCGTGGCCGTCTCTCTCAGGCTACCCACCTGGTGATAAAAGGCCTTTAGTAGCAAGGAGCATGGTGGGGCACGTTTGCTATTCTCCCACTCCGGAGGCTGACAAGAGGGTGCTCCTGAGCTCAAGGCCAGTTTGGGCTATAGAATAAGACCCTATCTCAAGTCAGTAAGTGAAACGAAGGGCAGTTCATCTTCCTCCACACTGCAGCTGGGCTGCCCTGAGGCCCCACGAGGTACCAAGGCCACCGTGGGACTGCCACATCCCGGTGAGATCAGCACCCAGAATTTGGCAGATCACCTGGAGCATTCTGTGCTCACAGCCTGTGACTCATGGACACATACTCATTGGCAAAGGCTGCCAACCTGGGACAGCTGTGTCCCTAGCCCTGGGCTCGCTCACCTTGCCTGTGCAAGCACCTTTTAAGGAGAGGGAATTTGGTTTCCCTCCCTCTGCCAGCTCTCCACAACTATCTAGGACAAGTCAGACTCCTACCTGGGTTCATATCTGGTAACATCACTTTTTTTTTTAGATGTAATGTTGGGTAGGTCAATTTCTCTGAACCACTTATAATTTGGAAATAATCCTTGCCTCATCAAAGTGGAATTAAATGAGGTAATACGTGTAAAAAGTGCTTGGCGAATGGTACCTTTTTTTTTTTTTTTTTTTTTTCTCCAAGGCAGGGTTTCTCTGTGGCTTTGGAGGCTGTCCTGGAACTCACTCTTGTGGACCAGGTTGGTCTCGAACTCACAGAGATCCGCCTGCCTCTGCCTCCCGAGTGCTGGGATGGTACTTTTTAAGGGGTGACAGTGGGGTACAATAGGCAGCCTGTTAGCTCTGACCACACCCCTTTCTTACCTGGTATCTTTAGTTACTCAACTCTGCTGGGCCCTCTTCTGTAAGACCCCACATTCCCTGGCAGCTTGTGAGGTGAAGATCACACGTTTTATAAGATGGAGGGCTGGGATATAGCTTAGATGGCAGAGTCCTTGGTCTATCATGTAGTATGAAGACCTGGGCTCAACAATCAGCACCAAATGAAACTAGGGGTGGTGGTGCATGCCTGCAACCCCAGAACTCCAGAGGGGAGGAAGGAGGATCAAGTTCATCCTTAGCAAGCTCAAGACTAACTGGGTGTACATGAGACTGTCCCCAAGCAACATGAAGACACAGAAGAGGGACGCCTGGCTACTGCTGCGCTTCATGGCCTTGGCCACACTCTCTAACCTTAATATCCTACTTGGAGGCTACTATAAATGAAGACACAGAGCACCAAGAGGTGCTCTGACCAATGGCTGCCATTCACTTACCTTGCTTGTGGTCTCAGCCCAACAGTCACTAGGCCAGTTTCCCTGGACCTGAGGGTTTTTGACCCCACGTGCCCCCTCCCCAACCCCTTCTGCTTCAGCAACGGCTGCCCTCTTGTTAAGCCTGCAGGTGGATCTTGGTTCCAGCTGAGTTCTAATGGAACAACGTGTGCCACTGTGAACAAGGCAGAGGGTGTCAGGACTTTCTGTCATCAAGTTCCAGAGGCTTGCAGAGAGCAGACATCAGCTCAGAGGCTTTAGGCTGGGTTTTCTTGGTTGGGCAGCCTGGCACTCTTCACAGCCAAGGGAGCTGGAGAGGGAACAGGATGGGTGGAGGGTCCGGTCCCAAGGACCAGAACTTCCTGTGGGCATACATGGAAGAAGTGCCACCCAGCCAGGGGTCAGAAGCCAGTCTAGGAAGAAGGTCCCAGAAGGGCTGAGGGGGCCCATGGCAAGAGTCCAGGTCTTTACTTTTTTGTTTTTCAAGACAAGGTTTCTCTGTGTAGTTCTGGCTGTCCTGGAACTCACTATGTAGACCAGGATGGCCTTGAACTTACAGAGATCCACTGTCTCTACCTTTCAAGTGCTGGGATTAAAGGTGTGTACCACCACCACCACCACCACCACATGGCTCAGAATCCAGGTTTCTGAGACAACCACTTTTGGTACAACCCCCAGCCTGCATTCCTTGAGCCCACATCTGCATTTGGGAAACAGCACAATGGACAGGAACAGAAGTCACATGAGGGGTGGACAGTCTAAGAGGACTCGGGGACAGCAGTGGCCCAGGAACACCCATTCACCCCGAGTGCTCGGTGTCCATACAACAGAGGATGGTGGCAGTGCAAACCTGGTTTTATTGGTCTGACTCATTCACAGCTCCTCCTCCTGCTCAGGGAACCAGAACCAAGGCCCAGATAACCCAGGGAGGGGACACGGGAGACAATGGACAGCTGTCGGGCATAGGGTGGGCTCTGTTCTTCATAGCAAGAGGTAGAAGGGTCACATAAAGTTCTTTATTATAGACCTACAAAAAATGAAAGAAGTATATATTACTCTCGCTTGTCCAGCCTCTGGTTCCCTTTTCTTTTCAAACAGGGGCAGGAGAAGTGCCAGAGGCAGGAGGATGGGGCTGGTGGTTCCGATCAGAGGACCATGTGGATGAGGACTGAGCCTGCAGTCAGGCTACAGGCTAGCCCAGACTCTTCCAGCGTCTAGGGGAACAGTGAGAGGCCCAGAAGGAGCAGACAGTAGGTGCACAGGAAGCCCCCGCACCATGCGCAGCACTGTTTCTCTGCAGGCCACCCTGGCTGAGGGCTGACTCTGAAACATCAGTGGCTTCTAGGTTTGGAGGTCTGCTGCCAAAGGCCAGCTTTTGCCAAAGGCTGGACCCACAGGGACAAAACAGAGGGGCAGGGCAGGAAGGATAATAGCTCAGGGCTAGGAGATCTACTGGGCTCCTCCCCAAACAGGCTCCAGCAAGCAAGGGCAGCCAGGACTCTTTCCTGCTTGTCAGCCAATCAGCTTCTTCAGGAAGGCTTCCAGCTGGTCCTCATCCTTGATGCCCACAAACTTGTCCACCACGTCCCCATTCTTGATGGCCAGCACTGTAGGCACAGCCGACACCTGGACAAGGGAACCACAGACCAAATCACTTGGAGGTAAATGTGTCTCATGCACTTTTCTCAAGGCCAAAGTCACAGGTTGTGCCAAGGAGATGGGGTCCTCACTGGGTGCAGGGCCTGGAGGCACACCCACTGGAACTTGTTCCACTGCAAGCTCCCAGCACAACCCTCCTCCCTGAACCACATGACTGACTCACTGGCCCAGCGGTTTGGCTGGAATGATGACATGAAAATAACTGGTGTGAGCTGTACGCCGGGCTGCTTTCTGAGCTCTATACACTGGGCACCGCACGGTTTGCCTCCAGTGTTTGGGACAGGCATCAGACTCCCATTGTGGTGGTCAGGGAAGCAAGCTCCAGGCCTGGCTGTCCCAACCTCACTCCTATCCCTGGTGACCCCTTTATTACTCAAGCCTCAGCTTTCATCAGCAAGTGGAGACACTAAGAGTCCTTTCAGTGGGCTATAGGGATGCCAAGGGCCACACTCAATGATTCGGCACAGTGGGTGTGGTGAAGCTTGACCTCGTGAGGACCCTTTGGTGGGCTACAGCTAACTGTATCAGACCAGAAATTCACACACAGCCTCTTCCTGCACATCGTGGAAGGGAGACAGCCATATGTGGTCCCGGGCTCATTAAGGCTGGCAAAGGGACATTCCCCATCCACGAGGCACCACTTCCACAGCTCTGGGGACCATGATTACATGAAGCATAGACGAGGCTGGAGTGCCTGGCATGGTGTGATGCCCAATGCTTGGTATTTGCTGCCATTTGAGAACCTATATAAACAAATTAAGGTAAACCAGGCTTAATTTACATATAAGTTAACTACAAAGGAACAAGAGCAATGGACAGACCCACTGGTCTTCCTTCCCACAGCCGGAGGGCCGGGGGTTGGGGGGTGGGGTGGGGGTGGGGGTGAGCCATCTCAGAGGCCAGACTGAGACAATGTCCAAGTGGGAAAAAGAGATGCGAGGGCTCTATCATACAGTCTTTACTTGTTATGTGACAGGCCCCGCAGCCATTCCTAAAGCACAGCATGGAGGACACAGTTCCTACTTTTTTAAGTATCTCTGGACCCTCTTGTGCTTGTCAGACTCTGGTCTGGGTGGTGGTATCAACAGCCTAAAAGCAGGCTCCCAGTGTCTCCAGGAAAAGACAGGGACCAGCAAAACAGAATCTAGAAGCACCACTGGGTGTGTTCCTGCACCATCTAGTGGTTGATGAGTGAACTGCAGCACGCTAAGGCTGGCTATGCTCAACCACTAACTTGGCTGAAACATTCCACTGGTGGACAGTCTGTTCCTTTAAAATAAATATTCTATTTTTAAGATGTGGTCTAGGGTTGAGGGTGTGGCTCAGTGGTAGAGTACTTGCCTAGCAGGCATGAGACCTAGGTTCCATCCCAGCACCAAAAAATAAATCAACCAGCTTCCCTTCGTCCTGGTGCACTTGGCAGGCCTCTTCGCTCCCTCATGGAGACAGCTCAGAGTGGATGGAGTTTCCCTCCTGGGAGGTTCTGCTGTGTGTGCAAGCCTCTGTGCATGCTGGGACACACAAAGATCAGGCTGGTATCCATGACAATTGAGGTCTAGTCACTCCTTGTCAAGGGCTTCCTCAAAGTCTGAACAACACATATATCAACAGGCATGCACACAGCTACAGGCTCCCAGAACTCCGTTTCTAGTGGGGTATCTGGGTTATGACAGGAGGCCAAAGTCTGCTCCTTAACCAGGACGCTTGGTGTTTGGAACATGTCCATTACAGCTAATGCTCAGGTGCTTGTGTGTGGTCTCAGGAAGGTAATGGGGGCTGGATGGTGGCAGCACATGCCTCAGGAGGCAGAGGCAGGCGGATCTGTGTGAGTTCGGGGCCAGCCTGGTCTACAGAGAGAGTTCCAGGACAGCCAGGGCTGTTACAAAGAGAAACCATGTCTAAAACAAACAAACAAACAAACAAACAAACACAACCCAAAAACACCAACCCCTCACCCCAACCACTGCAAAAAGAAAGATGATGGGAACACAAGCCACCTTGGCTCCCCCCAGTGTTGACAGGACAACAGGAATCAGGTTAGGGGAGGACATGCGCAGACATGCTGCCCATCCTGCTCCAAGAAGCTGCCTGGGGAGTGAGTGTGAATGCTCTCCCCACCAACCTGAAGCATCCCTTGTCACACCCTAGCAACACGGCCAAGAAACCACTAAAGGCAGGACAGACACCACAGGAAGCTGGTGACCTCTGTGGCCAACTGAAGAACTCACAGTGGGTGGATGGTGTTTTCAGATGTCAGGGAAGGCCACTGACTACTGTCCCTAGGTTGCTGTCACTGAGCGACATCCTAACCCTCCTACGCTGCCATTTTAGAGATGAGAAGACTGGCTTTCAAAGCACCTATTCCAAGAGGACTCAAAGTCAGGCAGGGATTCAAAACAAGAAACAAAGTCTGTCTGGCTTTGCTTCTGCTGGAGAGAGAAGGATCAGAGCCAGGGAGAATACAGACCCCAGCAGGGTAAAGGCCATCAGAGAAGCATTCAAAGACTTCATGCTTTAAATGAGAAATGACAAATGTCTTGTAAAAGGGCTCAGCTATTACAGTTACTAGAAAAACCATCATTTAACAAACAAAACAGAGTTGGAAGGATGGCTTAGTGGGTAAAGGCACTTGCCACCAATCTTAATGACTCCAGTTCAATCCATGGCACTCGCATGACAGGAGAAATGACTCCTGCATGTTATCCTAAAAATGTGCAGATATGGGGCTGGGGAGACGGCTATGATGCCATGTAAATATGAAGACCAGGGTTTGGATGCCCAACATCCATGGGGTATGGTGACTACCTAAACTCCCAGTGCTCCTGAGGCAGAAAATCCTGCCACAAGACAGTTAGCTGAACTAGCTGATCAGTGAGCTCTGTGCTCAACTGAGAGACCTGCCTCAATGAATCAATGGAAGACTCCCAACAGCAACTTTAAGCCTGTACGGGCACCCAACAAACACACACTTGTGTGCACACACAACCACTAAGGGTGATGACATTAAGTCCTTCCTGGAACTCTGGGTCACAATCTTCTTCAGGAAGAAACCTAGTGTTTTTGGTGTGTGCTCTAGGTACCCATTTTACCACTGAGCTATACCCTCACCCCAGAGTCTGTGCTGAGAATTCCATAAATGCCCGGGGTAACTCAGCTTCAGAAGGCAGAGACAGGTGATCCCTACAGCAACGTGGCCAGCAAGCTCTAGGTTTGGGACCTTGCTTCAATGGATGGGTAGAAGACCGATAAAGATGACTCCCAACATCTACCACGGGCCCCACATGGATGCACAGGCATGTGCACACAGACCCCACACACAAGCAAGACCATGCATTACACACGTATGAAAAAAATGGAAAGAAAAAAAGAATACTCCAGGAGGACCAGTGGGGTTGCTTGTTGGGTAAAGGCACCTTCTATGAAGACTGACAACCCGAGTTCAATCACTGAAACCCACATAATAGAACCAATTTCTACAAGTTGTTCTCTGACTCCACACGTGTCATGGCATGTGGACCCATGTACACACATATAGTGATGATAAAAACCAAAACAACCAGCCGGACGTTGGGCGTTGGTGGCGCACGCCTTTAATCCCAGCACTCGGGAGGCAGAGGCAGGCGGATCTCTGTGAGTTGGAGGCCAACCTGGTCTACAGGGCGAGTTCCAGGACAGCCTCCAAAACAATACAGAGAAACCCTATCTCGAAAAACCAAAACCAAACAAACAAACAAAAAAACAACCACCCAGTTCATATTCAAGTTTGAGAGCCCTTATTTCCAAACAGAGCAACTAGAAATGATTAAAATACCATAAATTTTAAACCAGTTAATGTGCTTGCTTAGCACGCAGAAAGCCTCAGGCTCCATCCCAATTTAAGCTGGGAGTGGTGGCACATGCCTCTAATCTCAGTACTGAGTAAGTGGAGGCAGAAAGATAAGGAGTTCAAGGCATCTCTGCTATGTATTGAGATTGGGACCAGTCTGGAACACGACCCCCACTGTCTTAAAAAATTAAATAAAAAGCTTTACACAAGTTACTCAAGCAGTGACAGCGGCTATGTCAGGGTCACACCCTCAACTGTAAGGCAGAAAGAGAAGCCTTGGGGGACAGCAGATGTCCCATTCCTTCTCAATTGCCCCTTGCCCCCAGGAACTAGCACGGGCTCAATGGTCAGGAGATGGGCATGTGAAAGCCTTGCACCCCTTAAGCCGAGACCATACAGAATATGAGTGGGGGTTGTCAGTGACACCCCAAAAACATCAAGGACTCCCCCATTCAGGTCCAGTGGAAGTCAGGAGTGGCTACGGAAGAGGCACGAGAGAGTCAAGACAGCTCGAGGACTTATAGGCCGCTGCCTGGATGCCTTTCTCTGTAACCATGGTGCTGTGTGGACGGTGGGAAGGGGGAGGACAAGAGTCCCAGAGGACCCCCTCACCTTCCTGCCTCACCACAGGCTGGCTGTCCATACCCACGCCATCCCATTCGCTGGTGGAAGCGGGCTTTGCATCTTACTAGTTTCCAGGCCGTAGCAAATGGATAGTTTGCAGCTCTCTGTCAAAGACATGATGCTGAGGCTGACATGGTAGCATCTGGGTCTCAGGAGGCAGTCTGGAGGTCTCAGCTGACCCTTGCCCTGTGTGGCTCCAGGCCTGAGTTCCTACTAGAAGGCCACACATTATTCACATTTGAACCTGTTGAGGCCCCGGGGTATGCAGTGAGTAAGCCAGGGAAAAGTCAGGGTGTGGGGGAGTGTCTCAAAGGTTGAAGGCCCCCTCTGACCCGGCAATTGGTGGGAGGGCTCAAAAAACAGCAACTCCCTCTACCCATGCCATTGAGCAACCTGGTTTATGAAGTCTCAAGGATGCCTTGCATCAGCAACAGTCATCACTGGCCCTGCCTTCCCACAGCGTTTCCTCTCCTTTGACCCAGGCAGTTTGACTTCGTTTGACTGACCACCCTGCTTTCCGTCCAGTTCAAAGATGGGTGGCAACTCTCACACTGCCCACCCCTCTGTTTCCTGCCATGGGCTCTAGTCAGAGGATGGGTAACTGTACTTCAGCTGGTCTGGGGGAGGTAGGCATGGTTAACTGAGTCTAGATGTCTGAACTCTGAGAAAGAAGCCCCCTCCCTTCCTCCAGCCTCTTGCATCCAGAGGGAGGGAAAGGTTTACCCTGGTCTTGGGGTTTCAAGAACTCCAAAGATGTGGATTTTCATAAGAATGTTTTTGGAGTCGAGGTCTTGTTATCTATCCTAGGCTGCCCCAACACTTGGCTGGCTTCCGGGCATGGGCCACCATGCCTGGCTTGCACAAATCCTTCTGAGTTTTAAATATCAACACCTGGTTTCCCCTTTCTTAAATCACTCTGACAGCCAGACCAAACATGCCTGTGAACCAGGGCTGGCCTCTAGGTAGCCAGGTGTGACCCTGGCTCTGTGACAGTGTCACTGTCAGCATGGCTTCCCAGGGATGCCCTGCTCCAGCCTGGTCTGCTTTCCCAGCCACGGGCCCTCCCAATCCTTGCTGTTCCTTTCACCCAGCCACCCAGGGCCTCTCTCCTTCCTTCAAGGCCCACAGGATGCCCCACATCCCTGGACAGGGTCTGCAGCCAGCCCAGGGCTCTTTCCTGAGACAGGCACACTTGTTTTACTATTCCTTTCAGGCTCCGCTCCCATGTCACCTCCTCAGAAAAGACAGTCCGACAGATGTGATGACACACACCCAGAAACACTGACTTGGAAGCTGGCAGAGGATCAGAAATGCAAGGTCATTCTTACGTGGTGACACCAAGGCCAACTTGAGCTTCGGAAGACTCTCCCTCAAAAGGCCAGAACAGGGAACAAAAGCAAGAGGAAGACAAAAGTAGTGCCCAGTCCCCGCCATTTCCTTCCTTCTGCAGAACCCACAAGTGTTTGGAGATTTACACAGATGTCATGCGCTGGGTGTCCCCAAGCTGAAACTCTTCAAAAGCCAAAGTGTTTACCCGTGACCGCCACGGCCTCTGTACTGGGAGCCTATATCTGAAAGAAAACAGCAAGTGGACCACGGCCCTTGGGTCAAACTCCGCTTGCTTGCTGTCCATGTCTGTAAACAGAGCCTCCAGACCATGCCACAGCCTTTAGTTTGTCCTGTGTGGCTGCGGACTTAAGAGACAGCTGAGCTGCTGCAGACTCTGCTCTGCAAACCCTCATGCGCTTACCACCCGCTCCCTCGAAGATTCCACTTTTTAATTTTTTTATTCTTTTGGCTTTTTGAGACAGGGTTTCTCTGTATTGTTTTGGAGGCTGTCCTGGAACTCACTCTCGTAGACCAGGCTGGCCTCCAACTCACAGAGATCTGCCTGTCTCTGCCCTAAGTTCTTTTTTCTTTCTTTCTTTCTTTCTTTCTTTCTTTCTTTCTTTCTTTCTTTCTTTCTTTCTTTCTTTCTTTTTTTGGTTTTTCGAGGCAGGTTTTCTCTGTGGTTTTGGAAGCTGTCCTGGAACTCCCTCTGTAGACCAGGCTGGCCTTGAACTCACAGAGATCCACCTGCCTCTGCCTCCCGAGTGCTGGGATTAAAGGCGTGCGCCACCAACGCCCAGCTCCAAGTTCTTTTTTCAAAGAAGATGTATTTTGCTGGTTGGTGGCGCACACCTTCAATCTCAGCACCTGAGAGGCAGAGGCAGACAGATCTCCAAGTTTGAGGTTAGCCTGGTCTACAGAGTAAGTTCCAGGACAGCCAAGGCTACACAGAGAAACCCTATCTTGGAAAACAAACAAACAAACAAACAACCCCCAAAACCAAAACTCAGTATTCTATTTACTTTTTTTTTTTAAATGGGTACGGGAATTTTGTCATCAAGGGCCAGAAGAGGATGTTTGATCCTCTGGGACTGGAGTTACAGATATTTGTGAACTGCTAGGTGGGTGCTGGGAATTGAACCCAGGTCCTCTAGAAGAGTCAGTGCTCTTAACTGATGAGCCCTCTCTGCAGCACCAAGGTCAGTGTTGTCTGCCACAGCCAGCACCTGGCACCTGGCTTGTGTTGGGGCTGAATACCCACACAGGCCAATCCCGTCCTGTCTTTTGTTGCTTTGTACTGAGGCTAAGGCTCACTCTGTCCCCAGGCTGGCCTGGAACTCGTGGCACTCTTCCTGCTTCTGTCTCTGGGTTGCAGGGGTGAGCTCCTACTTGCGGCTCCTTCAGGTCTCTGTGCTCACTGTTCTCAGCTCTTCCCTTCCCTCTGTGTATGCTCTGCTTCAGGTCAGAGGCTCTGGAATGCAAAGCCTTCCCTGTCCTGGCCACTTCCTCCCAAAACAACCCGCAGTGCCTCTCCTCACACAACTTTTCATTTCAGCTTGCTATGAGCATCTCGTCATGTGTTTTCCAACAGACCAAGAAACATTTGGGGACAAGGATGTCCCCTTACCGGTGCCAGAATCACCTAAGCCTTCCATGTCTGCCAGGGTTCATAGGCAACAGCTGGCTGAATGTGAGGCAGGTAGCCGGACAAGATGGTACAGTTCTATAATTTCAGTACCTGAATGTCAGAATCAGGAGTTTCAGGAGTTCGAGCACAGTTCAGGCTATATGAAACCCTATCTCATAAAACCAACAACAGAGAATGACCTAGTGTTTTGGGCCAGGTAACCCATTTCCGAAGGGTGTCAGGGGGTCAGTGCAGCCATGTATGCGAAGCCTGAGACCCCGCCTCCTAAGAGCGCTAGAAGAATACCAGACACGTCACTTACTGGCTATTGGGTTATCACCACCTTGGCTTCCCTGCCAAAACATACCTCGTACTCTATGGCAAGGTCCGTGTTGTCGTCAATGTCCACCTTGGCCATTACCACCTTTCCATGTTGCTTGGCCACCATCTTCTCTAACCGCGGTCCTAGGATCTTACAGGGGCCACACCACCTCAGAAGGTGAGAAGGGACACAGTCAGTCCTGAGCGTGCTCGCTGCTCCACCTGTCTCCCCAGAGCCACCCTGAAGCCCACACGGACTCTGACGGTAGAGCTGAAGGGAGCGAAACCTGGGAGATATGTGAAGGCCAGCCTTCTCAGGCATATGCAGAACCTTCAGAGAAGGCATCCCCCAAAGAAACCACAGCCTGTGGAGTTCCTGCAGAAGACATGAGGGTGGCAAGCACAGCCTAGCACAGAGGGTGGGGTGGGGTGGGCGGTGCAGCCCATGGACTAGGGAGAGAGAGGGCTCTCTGGGCATGCCTGTAGGGGATGTATAACCTTGAAACACGCTGCGGTGGGAAGACACACCAGGCGAGGGTGGGTGGTACCACTCTCTGAGCTCGGATTCTGAACTATAGAAAAAGGAGAAGGAGAATGCAAGATGGCCCAGTGGCTGAGGCCGCTTGCTGCTGGGCCTGGGCAGCAACCCAGTTTGTCTTAGGAGCCTACGTGGTAGTAAAAAGTCAGCCCCAGAAGGCTGTCCTCTGATCTCCGCTGGTACACCACGGCTTGAGCTTGCAAGTATGCACACATATAATACTCAAATGTTACACAGGGGAGGGCTAGGGAGCTGAGCATGAATATGCATCCTCCCGTTTCTTCATTAAGGGCACGGCAGGCCCCAAGCCCTTGCCGCTGGGACTCCTCTGCCACGACAGACTGCATTTGGAGCTGTGAGCCGAACCTTTTCTCCCTTAAGTTTCTTTTGTTACGGTATTTTATCATAGCAACAAAAGGAGAAAATATAAATTTGAGACTAGCCTGGATTATATAGTGAAGCCTGGTAGAACACGGTTGGGCCAGCATCACCTCAAGGTTGTTAAATCATAAACAAAATATCACTACACTGAATCATGCAATCAACTACCTTGTAGGCCATAAAAGGGTTAGCTCACTGACCATTCCTTTCAAAAACCCTCCACCATAGCACGGGGCAGAGTAATTGCCTCCTACAGATCCCTGGCTGTCAACTTCTGTTTTATCCTTTTCTTAGACAGGGTTTCTCTGTTTAACAGCTCTGGCTATCCTGGAACTCACTTTGTAGACCAGGCTGGGCTCAAACTCACAGAGATCCGCCTGCTTCTGCCTCCCGAGTGCTGGGATCACAGGGGTGCACCCCCACTGCCCGGTTTCTGTTTTATCTTCTTCTATGAGCCAGCACATGCCAGTCATGTCTTATATGGAGGAGGTGGAGGCAGGAGAGGCTCAAGTCTGACCTGGGCTACACAGTGAGACCTGTCTCAACTCATCGTCCTTACCCAAAAACTTCCATTCAGAAATTTCAATCAATGAATAAACCTAAATACCTAAAAAGCCAGCCTACAAGGCCTTATCTTAGATGACAAGGATACCCACTGGCCGTTCCAAGATAACTTGGTGAGTCAGAGATAGGATCAGAAAGGAAACAAGGAGCCTGTGAGATGTGTCTAGAAAACCTCCAGATGGTAATTGAATGCACTATTTTCTACCAGGATGCTTTGTTCTATGGGGTCTGTTGGCTGTTTGGCTGAACCAGGTCTAAAAGTCTGGAAATGAAAACCAGGCTAAGATGCAGGTGTTTATACATCTCCGAAATCTCCGAAATACATTCCTACGGCACTGAGAGGACACACCTCCTGCCCACCTCATACACACTCGGACACCACTATGGTGGCACGGGTAATGTTTTGCCCAGCCCTTCCCGGTTTTGCTGCTTCACACTGGAGAAGACTTTTCAGGCATCGAGATACAAGACAGAGGCACAACGCAGTGCTCATCCTGGTCTGTCAGTCTGTCTTCTACCACATAGCACGCTGCTTGAGGGAAGGCACTGGGTCTCAAGTCTTCATAACACATTTATGAATGAGAAGCACTGGCCGGGCGTTGGTGGCATATTCCTTTAATCCCAGCACTCGGGAGGCAGAGGCAGGCGGATCTCTGTGAGTTCGAGACCAGCCTGGTCTACACAGTGAGTTCCAGGACAGCCTTCAAAACAATACAGAGAAACCTTGTCTCGAGAAACCAGAAAAAAGAATGAGAAGCACTGGACACGGCTGTGAGCAACAGTGGACACTGACGGGCGATGTAAGAACCCCCCCCCTGCCCCCAGTACTCACTGTGCGTGAAAATCCACAACAACTGGTGTCTCACTGTTGACAACCCTGTCTTGAAAGTCAGGCCCATCCTGGACATTAAAGGTTGTTGAGCAGAGTCGGCTGGTGCGTAACGTCCGGGCTGGGCTGGTTGCTCCTGTCAGACCACCAGGATTGCACTGTGGGGTCTGCAGGGTTCTAGAGGTGAGGGAAGCCCACCTACCCTGAGGGGGCGTCCTGGGGATGACTGAGGTCAGGAACCTCCTCAGGAGAAGCCGCTGAGCCATCTGTGAGGGAAAGAAGCAGGAAGAGCTGGGCTACACAACAGGAAGGCAACGCATCGGGAAAACAAAGTATTCCGAAGTACTGAGGTGTTGGGGACATGCAGACCTAGAAGCAGAATGCACGGAAATACTGTAATATATGAGTTTTTTGAGGGCCAGGACCTGTCACTGCTGCACTTGGGAGGCTGAGGCGGGAGGAGATAAATCAAGGTCAGTTTGGGCTATATAATAAAACCCTGTCTCTAGAACCTCCACACCACAACAACAATATATCTAGGGGTGAGTGAGGAATGAGAATCAAGGAACAGACATGTTAGAAAGACAGAAAACTGCCGGGCGTTGGTGGCGCACGCCTTTAATCCCAACACTCGGGAGGCAGAGGCAGGCGGATCTCTGTGAGTTCAAGGCCAGCCTGGTCTACGGAGTGAGTTCCAGAACAGCCTCCAAAACAATACAAAGAAATCCTGCCTCGAACCCCCCCCCAAAGAAAAGAAAGACAGAAAACTAGGTTGACAACCAAAAAAGAAATCAAGGCTTAGGTGGAATTATAAAAGGTTGATGGAAGGAGGAACAAAGCTCAACTGTGTTACATGACTTGTTCTCCCAGGTCAACTCTGAAGAAACTGTTTTAACACCGTCCACATTCAGGGCACCCGGGGCCTCCGGTAGGTTAAGTGACATGCCCAAAGTAGCCCAGTTTTAAAAGGACAGTTAACTGGAACCCAAGGCCATCTGTAAAATCTTTACTTTATCGATGACTCTTTTAAAATTTCCATGGGAAATTAAGGAGGGAAAAGGGAGCTGTCGAAAGATAAGCAAAGAAGAATCCCAACTACGGAAGGAGGAACTAAGACGCATAGGAACCAGACACGGGGTACCAAAGAGAAGGGGGAACCTGTGTACGGAGGAAAACGGAGAGACCGGGAGCACAGGGCGTGCGGCTGCCGAGACCAAGTCCTTCCTCTCGGGTCCTCCCGGCGCTTGTGGCCGGCGTGCACAGCAGCACCCAGCCCACCCCGCGGGACTCCTACCTCCCAGCAGCTCGAGCCTAGGGACGCACAGCCCAGTCGGCCTGCCCGTCAAGGGCACTCCTGTTGTCACTTCCTCAGGGGCGGGACTAGCGTCATTTCCGGGAAAGGCTACCCGGACGGCGTATCTTCGCAACTAGGGGGCGGCTCAGTATTTTCCACCAATGAGGATAACGAAAAAAAAGGTACGGGCGAGGGGGCGCGACCGGAAGGAATGGGATCCTGGAGGAGGGACCGGAAGAGGGGGGGACCATTGAGAACGAGGGAGGGCGGGGAGGAAGGAGTGGCTTTGGGACAAATCTCTGGGACGTTGAGCCCTCTTGGCACTGCCCGTCCCTGAATCTTGGTTCCGGAAAGGGTCGGCCTGTTGCGTTCTTATTAGTGTCGGGCAAGGACGCTCTGTTTCTCAGACATTTAGTGTTTATTTAAAGGGAGGTTTTCCCGGGCTGGGGTTGTGGCTCAGTTGGTCGAGCGCTTCCCTAGCACACACGAAGCCTGGGTTCGATTCTCAAAATCACGCCAACCGGGTGCGATGGCACACACGTGTTATTCCGGAACCCCGGAGGGCTCAGGACTTCAGAGTCATTCTTGACTCCATAGGGAATACTTGATACACACACATTTCTGCCTTGTCTGTCCAACGAAACTTCTGGTCAAGGGCAAGTCACGGTCCCTAAGGGCTGGTGGTGCTTCTAAACCCTCGAGTTTCTGTCTTTGGAAGCTTGCCTTTGAGATCCAAGGTGAGGTGCCATCTGTGGAGCTTGGGGCTTTCCTCCATCCCCACTGGCATGAGTAACTGAGGTCTAAGTTCTAGATATCCCCCCCCTTTTTTTTTTTTTTTTGGTTTTTACGAGACAGGGTTTCTCTGTATTGTTTTGGAGGCTATTGGTCCAGCCTGACCTCGAACTCACAGAGATCTGCCTGCCTCTACCTCCCGAGTGCTGGGATTAAAGGCGTGCGCCACCACCGCCCGGCTAAATTCTAGATATTCTAACTCGTATTCCAGCCCCTTACGGTTCCGGGAACACATTACTGCTCATACCCTCTTTCACACCTTCGCTCACTTTGCAGTTTTGACTTTGCAATTTTGTCGCTAGGTACTTTTTTAAAAAAATATTTTATGTATTTATTATGTATACAGCCTTCTGCCTGCGTGCCAGCAGAGGGCACCAGATCTCATTCAAGGTGGTTGTGAGCCACCATGTGGTTGCTGGGAATTGAATTTAGCACCTCTGGAAGAACGGGCAGTGCTCTTAACCGCTGAGCCATCTCTCAGTACTTACAGTGCCTGCCCATCATGTCTCCTCTGAATAGTTTTGCTTCCGTCTAGTGTTTGCCTTGTAACCTACATAACACATCACAGTGTCTACTCTACCCGGTCTATGCTTTCTCAGAGTGCTTGTGCAAATGGTGTCTGTCAAGCAGAAGCGGATAAATTGGCAGGACTCTATCTGCCACACCATGTCAACCCACTCTATCATTAGTTAGTGGTTTGCTGAGGTCTCTCTCTCTCTCTCTCTCTCTCTCTCTCTCTCTCTCTCTCTCTCTCTCTCTCTCTCTCTCTCTCTCTCTCTCTCTGGTTTTTCGAGACAGGGTTTCTCTGTGGCTTTGGAGGCTGTCCTGGAACTAGCTCTTGTAAACCAGGCTGGCCTTGAGCTCACAGAGATCCACCTGCCTCTGCCTCCCGAGTGCTGGGATTAAAGGTGTGTGCCACCAACGCCTGGCTGTTGAGGTGTCTCTTGTATTCTGCATCTGCAGTTGTTGCTGGAAGGCTTTTCCACTGGAGAAAAATACTACTAGGTACTAGGCTCTGCATTGTCTGCGGATGGCTTTTTCTGTCTCCTCCAGTGGGAGGAGGACCTCCTCTATGCAACTGTCAATCACCTTTCTCCAAGCTTTGTTTTGTTGTTTGTTCCCTTCTTTTCCTTCCCCTGTCCCCATCCCTGCTTCTTGCCTGCTCCCTCTTTTTTCTACCCCATTGTCTCTCCATCTCCCCTCCTTCCCTTACCCCTCTTTCTTTCTTAGAGTCTCATTTATCGTGGATTCGCTTTTATGCTGGGGGTTGAACCTCGCAAGCACTCCACCAACTGATCTGCACCCCCACCCCAGTGTCTATTTCCCACTTTACTGCCAATCCTGCAGAATGTGAGTGTGTGTGTGTGTGTGTGTGTGTGTGTGTGTGTGTGTGTGTGTAGGGTGAGATGTCTCTGCAAACACCATGGCCAACAGACCTACGATCTGTGTGAGGCAAGAAGGGAGCCCAGTTCAACATAACTCAGTAGCTAGTGTTGGTTCAAACTTGGAGAGTCTGACTTTATTTTAGGCTTGTTTAAGCACAATACAATTTGGAAAAAAGTTCCCTGGGACAGCGAACTCAGTCCCATGTGCACAATAGAGAATAAGACACGGGCACCTCAAAACTCTTTGTAAAAAAAGTACATGTGATATCTTCCATAAAAATGACTTCTTAGACTGACTGCATCTGACGCCTCCCAGGTCTGGGGAGGATCTGGTGTGGTGTCAGTCATACAGGTAGCACAGAGGTCACCAGGCTGTTAGCCACCTCCACTTCTCCTAGGTGGAAAACAGGTTATACTCTATCTCCCTTTGGAGAGACAACTCTGAGTTAACACTGCTGGTTTTCATGGTGTGGAAGATCTTCAGTACTCCTTACACTGCAGGGTCTGTCTCCATTACTTGCCTCAGGATCTGATATCATAGGAGGTGCCCAGTGACTTTAGGAGGCGCAGCAGCGACCCAAATTGAGTCTTTTAGCTTCAAATCCATTTTCCTCACCACATTCCATGACCACGCTGTACCCTTCAAAGCCACGGTCATGTTCTCATCCAGCTCATTTGGGCCACATCCTGTTATTATTTGTCCCCTGTACAATTGGCAGGTCCCAGTGCCACACAGGGGCTTTCCGCTACAATAGACTGAAGGAAACAAATCTACTTGCCCTAGCCAGCCACTGCCATGCCCACTGAAGGCAGGAGACGAGGTCAGGTAAGGGCAGAGTGGTCACTCTACCTTGTCTGGTCTGTTGTCTTAGCATCTGTCCTCATCTGGCATGACAACCTGTGGAGAAATGCCCGGACTCCCCCGTCCTCCGGGCTCCTGAGGTCAGCCTCCCTTGCTGCAGCTGTTGCTGATAATGCCAGGCACCAGCTGGCAGGGTGCTCTTGCCCCACCTACTTCCATATCTGCTTTTCTCAGGCTCCAGCACTTTCCCTTCCCCAGCCACCTACCCATCCTATTCAGCATTTTCACAGCAGTTTCTTGAGAGCCAGTTTCCTGGCCCGATCCGCATTCTGAATTCTAAAGCAGGTCCAGTTCTGGTTGTGTCTGTCTATCCTCTCACCTCACCTCTGTTGGCCCAGGCTTCTCATCTGAGAAATGAGAACAACATGCCTGCCTTAAAAAGAGGGGCTGTAAGCCAAGCAGTGGTAGCCCATGCCTTGGGAGGCAAAGGCAGGTGAGCCTTTGAGTTCAAGGCTAGCCTGGTCTACAGAGTGAGTTCCAGGACAGCCAGGGCTACACAGAGAAACCCTGTCTCACAAGGTCTGTGGGAAAGACATGGTATGGGAGCTGGCATGATGCCAGTTCCCTTTCCTCCAGCAGATAGGCAGCCCATGACACAGGCTAAGTCCAGCAGGTTGCCAACTGGCCCCTCAGGTGGTACCTGTGTCCTGGCTCTGTATACCTCTCAGTCAGATTCAGGGCACAAACTTGAAGCAGAGGGAAGGGAATCAGGACAGGAAGCCACAACTTTCTTTCTGATTATGAATTATGAGCATTATGAAATCAACATTGTGATCAGTTTAAAAATTGTTTGTTTTTTAGATTTGCTGTTTATATGTATGAGTGTCTTTAGCCTGCATGTATGTATATGGGTCACGTGCCTGCCTGGTGCCTGCCGAGGTCAGAAGAAAGTTTTGGCTCCCCTGGAACTGGTGTTACGTAGATTCTGGGAACAGAACCCAGGTCCTTTGCAAGAGCAACAAGTGCTCTTAACTGCTAAGCCATCTCCCAGTTCTCTGTGATCAGTTAAAAAAATGTCTCTGGCCGGGCGTTGGTGGCGCACGTCTTTAATCCCAGCACTCGGGAGGCAGAGGCAGGCGGATCTCTGTGAGTTCGAGGCCAGCCTGGTCTACAGAGCAAGTTCCAGGACAGCCTCCAAAGCCACAGAGAAACCCTGTCTTGAAAAAACCAAAAAAAAAATGTCTTTGATCCAAATACGAGAGTGGCTGAGGCTGGGGCATCTGTGGGTTCAAGGAAAGTCTGGTTTATATAGCGAGTTCAGTCAGGGCTACACAGTGAAACCCTCTCTAAAATAAAACAAACTAAGAAATACAGATGGGAATAGCGGCTTGGGATGTAGCTTGGTAGGCAGAGTGCCCGTCTAGCATGCACCAGACCCTGGGTTCCATGCCCAGAACTTCATCATGGTGGTGCGTGCCTGAAATCCCACCACTCAGGGGTGGACACAAGAGAATCTGAAACTCAAGAGCATTTTGGCTACATGTCAAATTCCTGGCCAACCTGGGCTACACGGGGAGACCTTATCTACTACAAAATAAAACAACAAACCAGGATGGAGTAGAAAATTTCAGAACATGCCAGGTGTTACCAGCAGTGCTTTGCACAATGTTTGTTACTGTGTGTGTACATTGCCGTGTGACCAAAAATAATCTTTCTCAGCGATAGTCTTGTCTACTTAGCTCCTGAATGCTGAGGTGACAGCCTGTAAGGCTTCTTTTACTGAGGCTCACAAATGTGCTAATATGCTGAAGCGTTACCACCTAAATGGCTAGCACTGTAGTCAGCCTCTTGCATGAAGCAGGAATGGTGAAGCCACAGCCTTCACCTTAGAGGAAGACACTGAGGCACGTGGGAATCAAGAGGCTTCTTGGGACACACAGAGAACAGGGGCGGCATCTTAATGGGACTATTCCACCCCCAGAAGAATCTGCCTTGGCTCTAGAGTGCTGCCTCCTCTCCCAGCCTCCAGAGAACTGCCAGCCAGCACAGGCCATCTGAGGCCAAGCCAGGGAAGATGCTTGTCAGCATGCCCTAAGTAA